AAAAATATTATAAAAACATCTACAATAAATGAGTCAATGTTTATGCCATATCGTCATGATTTACATTATTTTATTCAATTCATTATCAGAGACCATAAGGGAGACTTTCCTCTCATGTATAGAATCCGAAAGAGTTCTCAAAAATTATACCAAGAAAAAAAAAACCCATCGATATAACTTATCCAAAAAATAATAATAAAATGAAAAAAAAAAAAGAAAAAGAAAAAGAAGAAGTAATAGACACTTCCTAGTCCTTACAATAGTAGATTCTTCGTGGGAAGAGAGTCCCCACCGTGTATATATGCTGTAAGTTTCATTTTTCTTTTTTGAAACAGTTAATAATTATACTGTTGGAGAGGAAAATCCTAACCCGGGGACTCCTGCATTCATCCTGTTTTCTCCATTGATAAGTATTTCATTCTCAGAGGATGGCAATGAAAAGCACAATAAAAAGATAATTTAGCATGAATTTTTAAGTTTAATTTTGATTAATTAGTTAGGATTAGATTTAATAAAAATAGTATAAATTCATGCAATTCTAGCCAAAAATATCATTTGATATATTTTTTTAAACGGGCCAAAATATTTTATTAAACAGAGTATAAAACAGACTATAAGCAGTATCCAACATGTTAATTACAACCACACAAACATGCTGAAAATCGATCCTTACAGGTAGCCATAAAAATTCCTTCACACATCTAAGCAAAACACAACCCTTAAAATCTTGCCTCCATCCTCTATTTTTTCCTTCCAAGTATCTTAGAACACATTACTGGATCCTGTAGCCAGTGACTGAACATTAAAGGTGAAACTATACGTATCTCTTAGATCTCCCAGTAAGCCAAAGAAAAGCCCTTAGCTGCATTAGTTCAAAAACCATCCTTTCATCTGCAGCACCATCCTTGATAATCCTTTCATTTCTAGCAAGCCATAAAGCCCAAACAAAAGATTTGGTTTAGCAGCAATCTCGTTTCTTGTCTCATTTGCCAAGCAAAGGCACTAACCTTGGTGGGGATGATTGGATCTTTTAACAACTCCAACCATATGTTTATGACTGGAACACAAAACCTCTTATATATTTCTACAAAAAATATATTACTACTAAACTCCTAACTCCATTAAAATCCCTAAAAATATAGAGTAAAGAAACTGTTGTAGCAAATATACTAACAAACGATTGGTGATTCCATGACTAACAGGAGTATTTTGCTATATATAATTGTGCCAAGAATCATTCAAATTTATATTTGAAACAATTCGAGGAAAGACAAATTTATATATTAGTGGAAATGATCATAAAACATGTACACTAAAATTCAATCTTACTTATCCACAAAAAATAATGTTTTTTATTCTCATCATACTCATCACAGAATCCACATTTAAGAAAATTATGATCATATAAGATACATCTCTTAAATAGATTTGATTTAGTAGCAATCCTTTCTTGCAAGCAAAAGCACTGATCTCTTAGCGAGGATGATCAGATCCCTTTAACAACTCTAACCACATGTTTATGATTGGAACACCAAATCTCTTATATTTTTACTAAAATATGTTACTATTGAACCACTTAACTCCATTAAAAACCCTAAAAATACACTCACAAGTCATAGCAAATATAACAAATGATTTCTTCATTCCATGACTAACAAGTATTTTGCTATAATTGTGCCAAGAATCATTCAATTTTAAATTTGAAATAGTTCACTGAAAGACACATTTATATATTGGTGGAAATTAGGATCATGAAACATACACCAAAATTCAATATAACACAAGAGAGGATTTGGTTAAAGAATTAATCCCCACAACATATATCTCTAGAAATTACTCACAAACTTACAGTGCAAGACATGGTTCTCTACAAAAATCTTAGCTTTTTTTTCTTTCTTTCTTTCTTTAACAAAACCCTTCCACGGTTTAATCTACAACTACTCATATGTTTCGAAAAGCAAATATATATATATATATATATATATGAGAAAGAATATGGAAGAGAATGGAGAGGCTACAGTCACGCGGAGGAGATGCTTAATACTGCTCAAACTTATGATATCATTGCAGAAGGCAGCATCTCTCCTGCGCCAGTAGTCCCTATGAATCTCTCTTTTCATGTAGTTTGCTGCTTCTTGATGAGTTCCATACATTGAGTTCCTTCCGAGGGGGGACTGTGTGTGGCCAGCCGGTACCAACAACAATGGCCTAATTTTCAGTCTAGATATCTTCCCTGTAAAGCTTAAATTTTAAACAAATCATACAATATGATCATACAATAAAAAAAGAACATCCCAAGGATTAGGGAAAATGGAGAGCACTAGGGCGACGGCAAGGGGCGCGGCAACAGGGAAAGACGGTGGCTACAAATAACGGCAAGGGCACAGGAACAGGTTTGCAGGCTATGATTCCCAGTTTTCTGGCTGGTCAATGACATTTTTCTTTTATAATTTTTCGAAGGAATTGGAGGCAAATTTCTATGGAATTGCTTTCAGATGTATGGTAAAGTTGTAGATAGACTTGGCAAACGGGCGGGTTGGGTCGGGTTAGGGTTGGGTCAGAACGGGTAACGGGTCAAAACGGGTTGGGTTAAAACGGGTCACGGGTCAATGAAGGCAAACCC